TATTAATATTGTAGAGCTGTAAGACTTTAGATATTTTTCTGTTCTGATTTGATGCCTTTTTAGATGTTGTGGTTTTACTGTAAACTGTAAAAAAAAGTTAGCTTTTACATGTAAAGATTTACTTGTTTCATTTTAGAGCACAAATCGTATTTTATTCTTTGTTACTATTAAAAAAATGTTTGTGTGTGTGTGGCGTTGGAGTGGAACTGACTGAGGCAGTAAATGTCCAACAGTCACTTGTAAATGGTTTATTGAATAAATAAATTACAAACAAATCAGTGCTTTGTGTTTGTTGGTGGGGTGGATGGCTTCATGGTTTATTTCTCTGTTTAACAGCAAACACAAAAATGGGTATTACTCACACAGATTGACAGATATCGAGCTAAACCTCGTCATTTCAGAGGGGCCATGTCTGGGCGATGGGCTGCTTTGGTAAATATGTCTGCTGTGCTGCGTCAGTGTTCTGCTGCAACCTGTTGTGTAGGTGCACACACAAGTCTTTGTCCACATCCTCCATTCAGAAGCAGAGGATAATTGCAAAACTGTCCAYGAGTTCCCCGTTCTCCACTTCCTGTCCATCTCTAATAAACCACACAGAGAGTACTTCTGCAGTTGGCAAGCTGAAATTAATGGGTGCAGGGGCGGAGCCAGGGGGTGGTCATGGCCACCACAGGAAGTGCTTTGTCCACCCTGCTGTAACCCCACCCCACCCCCCTCCAGTAGTAAAATGATCCTCCTGACTAAATATTTCAATTGTTAGAATTAAAAGTGATGGTTTTCTTTATTTAAACAGCAGATGTGTAATCTGGCTTAARGTGTCAGTTTTACAGTAAAGTAACAGTACAGTACAACTTCTCTAAAAACACAACTAAATAGACATTTTTGTCCCTTTACTACCCAGCATACTTTGCGGCACACTCAGACTCTCTAAAAGTTTATTTTTAATTCTACTCAAATGAGAACATTTATTTTTTGTTTATTTCTAGAATATTGACCAACCTGCTTTAAATCACAACAGAAGAATAAAACTTTTGTAATTTTATCACGTAACTTTTTAAATAAAACTGGCAAATCAGTTTCAACAACAGAAATGAGTCGGTTTGTTTGGTAAAAGTGTTTTGTGCAATAGTTTTGTATATAGTTCATGTTTTGTGAGATTTTTCACCAATTTAAGGACAAATTTCACAACTGCTTCAATTTTTTGTAGCTATTCTTAGCAAAAAGTACTATATGCAAATATTAATTACATATACTAATTTTAAACTAAACAATAAAATATACTTCCAGTTTACTGTTTATGTACTTGTCTGAGGTATACTCAAGCTTAAACACTTTACTTGGCTTGTACTAAAAGTATATTAAAAGTTTAAGTATACTTAGTCTCTACTAATGTTTAAAAGTTTGGCCAAGATAAAATTTAATATTACACTGAAAGTAAATTTTCACACAGACTGGTTTATTTGTAGTATATTTCAAGGTTGAACTAAAAGTATACTTATAAGATTACTTTCAGTATACTTCTGAGTATACTTTCATGAACTTATTGTGGGTCAGTTTAGTCCTAGAAGCTTGTTAGTAAACTGCTAGTATGTCTATATTAGTGAACATGGTGGAAATGCACTTTTATATACTTTAGTATACTTCATGACATGTATTTAAAGTATACTTCTTTTTGGAAACAGTCTACTTAAAGTATAATTTTTTAAACTAAAAAATAGTCCAAATTTAGTACAAACGCGTATTAAATTAGTATACTTTTTAGTACACTACAAGTACATGGTGCCTAGTATACTAGATATACAGCAGGAAAAATAAGTATTGARCACGTCACCATTTTTCTCAGTAAATTTATTACTAGAGGTGCTAATGACATGAAATTTTCACCAGATGTCGGTAACAACCCAAGTGATCCATACATACAAAGAAATCAAACCATAAATGTCCAGAAATDAAGTTATTTGTAATAATGTGGAATGGCACAGGGAAAAAGTATTGAACACATGAAGAAAGGGAGGTGTAAWAAGGCATGGAAAGCCAAGACACCAGCTGAACTCTCTCAGTAATTAGAAAGCAAGCCTGCCCCTTGTCAGTGCAAGTTAATATCAGCTGGTTCAGTCCCAAATGATGGCCAGGTATCACACAAGAACCATCTGATGATGGGTAAAAGTAAAGAGCTCTCTCAAGACCTTCACAACCTTATTGTTGCAAAGCATAATGATGGCATCGGTTACAGAAGAATGTCTAAACTTCTGAAGGTTCCAGTGAGCACTGTTGGGGCCATAATTCAGAAGTGGAAAGAACATCATTTCACCATAAACCGACCACGACCAGGTGCTCCTCACAAGATTTCTGACAGAGGAGTGAAAAGAATTATCAGAAGAGTTGTCCAAGAGCCAAGGACCACTTGTGGAGAGCTTCAGAAAGACCTGGAATTAGCAGGTACGWTTGTTTCAAAGAAAACAATAAGTAATGCACTGAACCACCATGGCCTGTATGCACGCTCACCACGCAAGACTCCACTGCTGAAGAAACAGCATGTTGAAGCTCCTTTAAAGTTTGCTGCACAACATTTAAACAAGCCTGTGTAATACTGGGAGAATATAGTCTGGTCAGATGAGACCAACATTGAACTGTTTGGATGCCAGAATACACATCATGTTTGGAGGTCAAATGGCACTGCACATCAGCCCAAAAACACCATACCAACAGTGAAGTTTGGAGGTGGGAACATCATGGTGTGGGGCTGTTTTTCAGCATATGGTACTGGCAAACTTCAAATAATTGAAGGAAGGATGAATGGAAAAATGTACAGAGACATTCTTATAAAAATCTGCTTCCATCTACCAGGATGATGAAGATGAAACGTGGCTGGACATTTCAGCAAGACAATGAGCCCAAACACAAAGCCAAGGAAACTCTCAGTTGGTTTCAGAGAAAGAAACTAAAGCTGCTGGAATGGCCCAGCCAATCACCTGACCTGAATCCAACAGAAAATCTATGGAAAGAACTAAAGATCAGAGTTCATAGAAGAGGTCCATGAAACCTTCAAGATTTGAAGACTGTTTGTGTGGAAGAATGGGCCAAAATCACACCTGAGCAATGCATGCCACCAGTTTCTCCATACAGGAGGCGTCTTGAAGCTGTCATTGACAACAAAGGCTTTTGTACAAAGTATTAGATAAATTTCAGTAAGTGTGTTCAATACTTTTTCCCTGTGCCATTCCACATTATTACAAATAACTTCATTTCTGGACATTTATGGTTTGATTTCTTTGTATGTATGGATCACTTGGGTTGTTACCAACATCTGGTGAAAATTTCATGTCATTAGCACCTCTAGTAATATATTTACTGAGAAAAATGGTGACGTGTTCAATACTTATTTTACCCGCTGTACTTAAACCTATACTCAAGTATACTTAKTAAAATGAACTTCAAGTATATTACTTTTTGTTTAAACTGTAACTTACAAGTCACTGCCTGTATAAGGATATAAGGAAATGTCCACCAAACAAAGATCTGCAGCAGCTTTACTAAAATAAAAAAGTGTAATTTTCCTGACCACCCCTGTGTGAGCAGTGGTCCCGGTCTGACCACCCCTGTGAAAATTGAGTGTCTCCGCCTGAAGGGGTGTACAGAGTAAACAGACCAGACCCTCCCAAGAGATGTTCCAGAGTAATTGACAGCCTCAGCAGACAGGGTGTCCCCYCTGCTGCACAAACTGACCTCTGTCTGTCTGACAATCACCAGGAAACAGTAACGCACCAAAACCCATCCTGAGCCGCTTGAAAATATCTTTAAAAACATGGTTCTAAGAACCTTCACCACCATCCAGGTGCGGCCGAGCAGTCGACTTTTCTTGTCCAAAATAAAAGGAGCTCATTTAAAGTTTCACAGATGAGATTAATGAGAAGCCCATCAGTGCTTGAGACACACTTGACTCRTCTTCCCCTGCTGTTCATACAACACACAGCCGTCTGACTCAGCTGTGCTCCTTTTCACTGACATCTGTTGAACCTCAGCCACAAAAAGCTGTTATTTTCCATTTATCTGGCGCCTTTTGTTTTTGTCTCTCCAGCTCGTCTGCAAACTTTAAAGTATAATTATTACCCATTATCTGTGACCTTCGGGGTTTGAGCAATTTGCACAAACACACACACAAAGAAAGTATCTTAGAGCAAATATAGACACTACGTTTAGAAATCCTCTTGTGAATTTTAAATGACTGTCAAGATTGCAGCCTAATGAGATGCAAGAGGCCTCGCAAATCCAAACTTTCGAATATGTTTGACCATGTTCTGTCACATGCGAGATTATAGATGAGACAGCAAGAACCTGAAGGTGAAAAAACAAGATTTATGGTTCAGCGCGCGCATATTCTGCTGTCATCGCACACACGAGATTCCCGCTTTTAACCGTCCGTCTGGAGTTCAGAGTCGGGTTTTTGTCGCAAATAACTGGGATCACACTTTTGTTGTTTCTGCAGAGTATCCATTCCTCAGGGGGGCCAAGAAGAGACGTGTTATCTGTCAGTACTGAAGGTAATGCATTTGCTCAGTTGCATTTACAAAATATCTCATTTGGAAGAAACAATCAGGAAGTAATGACTTTTGTGACTAAAGTTTGATGTGATAGGAGCTAAAACTGAGCTTAAAAAACACAAAAGATGACTAAAATCCAGGCTCTTTTACAGATATCCAGCTAAACTTTGGTGTAGAGTTCAAACAGTTCCATAACTCCAGCAGCTGGGGTGAGTTAAGGTAATGAGCATGATGGAGTTAAAAAAAACAACAACCCTGGAGCTTAGAATAAACTGAGATGAGGATTATGTAACTGAACTGCGATCAATATCTCACAGCTTCGGCTGATATTTTATTCATTCTGTTTCTCTCCTAACTGTAAACCCACGCAGAACGACCACAAGCTACGAACTTACAGCTGTGTGATAAAAGACAAGGATTTGACAGATGATAAATGTGAGGCGCATTAAAAAAAAGAAGTCACTGTATAAATATTAATGAGGAGAGATTTATTTAAAGATGACAGATAGCTGAAGTTTAATCTGGACAGCCGGATGAGGCGGTCAGGTTAAAGGCACGGCAAACTTTCTTGGGTTTTAGAAGGATCAGATCTCTGAGGGGGGTCAGCTTTTATGAATGCTTGAAAACCTTRTTGAAAATGGAGCCAAAACTGTACACCTGGAGCAAGAAATACCAACCGCTCGATTGCCTTTTGGCCACAGGTTTGACCCGTTTGCTCCTCACAGAGCGGTGCTTT